CATATATTTCAATGCATCGCTTAAAAAAATATTTACATTACATATCGCAATAGGCTCTAAATAGATAACGCGACGTATATAGATATTGCTTGATTTTTAAAAGTTTTGTACGATAAGGATTTCTTATGCATTTTGTCCACGCGAACAGAAAAAAATTGGAATACAACAAACAAGGACTTGTACATCAGAGATAGGATCAGGCGTCATGGAGAAGTAAGCATACCCTGCCGACCGGTCACACACCCATAAACTCGATTCTTGGGTAATCATATATCCGTAGGTAATTCAGTTTAGAAATAATGACCTAACTTCGACAAATTCTCACTCAGCGATAGAGTGAAACTGCAAACAAGGTCAATTTATCGACCACAGAACTGTTGTGTCTTTATATGAAATTCATAATATCCTTGTGTCATCAACTCTTTTGCCATGTAAAAGCCTGCTGCTTCGTTTTAGAAACTGTTCGTAAGTTAAAAAAAAATGATCTAGTGTGCTAAATCGACTGAGAGATATAATCCCCATAAGCAGTTGATAGTGTATATCGCTACATATTTGTTTCGTCTTTGGTGTTGTTGTTTTACTTCCCTCTCGAGAAATTTTCACTCACATGGAGACGCGACCACTTGCCGGTGGAGGACTGCAAATTAAAACCTATATTCTACAATTAGGGCCATTGAGCAGTAGATTTTTTTTTTTTCGTGACACCATCTACTGCATCTAGAGACCTCCATTTATGAGGTCTCTTACGAAAGACTGGTCTCCACGTCCCGAAGTGGGATTCGAATCCGTGACGATAGGATCAACTCCTCATTCCGTGACTCTAAAGCTGCTCAATTTTAACCATTGCTCTAGGCGGGCAATTATTGCTACATAAATAAAAAATATGAACGATACAAAAGTTGAAGTCATCACGTTTATCTTAATAAGTTTACGTCTAAGTCAGACTCTTTTGAGTCTTATATGTTGAATTGGCGGTGAAAGCAAGAGACTTTAAATAATTGAAAGTATTCTTCATACGAATTCGAAAACAGGTCTGCTAATAAATGGGTACAATTATTACCTGTAACAATTCTAAAAGTTTGCTGGAAGACCTGGTCTACAAAACCTATAAGCTTACATAGATACTGTCAATGAGAAACTCGGCCATATTTAAATATCAACCCTGGAGTACTTGTGTGTAAAATCAGAATGTTTTTAACAAATAGGTATACAGATAACTATTGAAAAGGTATACAAAGGTCTTTACAATGCAAGTTCTATTTTTGTGAATGAAACAGTTGTTTATGAATATGATGTCAAAAAGTCTTGTCTTTTAATTTGTCATGGGAAATGGTTGTATAAGGTGTTGAAAAGTTGTACCTTTTGAAGTTATCGATATTATTAGGATATAGATGAAATTTAAAATAGTGTTCATTCTTTTAAAAAAGAAAGGCAAATCTGTAAACTGGGCAGAAAATACGGAACCCTGGAAATTGCAGAGGTAGAATCAGGTGCCTCAGAGGTATAAGCATCCCCTGTCGATCGGTTACAGTTATCGTGATGCCTGTGGTTGATCCGATAGACGGAATAATTCTTAGTTATTTAATTTAGTTTACAACAATGGCCTAACGTAAAGTGTGAGATATATCAGACAAAAAATAGCCTAATGATAGGTTATACATAGGAATAAGTTGTGTTTGCTATTAAAGTTATTTCAAAGTGCTGAAAAGTCATACGCGATAAGTGTTGAAGTAATTGATTTTTTTTTGGGGGGGGGGGTGATTTGTCAGAGTTCATGTTTTTTTAAAAGTATTCACACATCTGAATAAAACATCTGTTAAATCTATTAATCCCGACTTTTCTTCACTGATATTGTTTAATTAATATTTCGGTGAGGGGCAAAACAGGGCTTAGTAGAACATTTTGTAATATCTGTTACCGCTATCATTTTGTAAATTTTGAATTTACTAGGGGGAGGTTTTTTTGCATTTACCTCCTCCTAGTAAATTCAAAATTTACAACATGATACCGCTATGTATCTTTGTAATAATTTTTATGAAAGTCAGGAATCCAATGTAGGTATGGTAATTCAAATTTTGAATATCATTAATACTGTAAAGCACTTTATATTCGCGAGAACTTTTATTTTCGCGTAATAAAGCGAGACAGTCCTCTCGCGAAAAATTCATTCTCGCGTTTATTAGCATTCCTTATGATAAGATAGAGCAAAACCACAATTCGTGAAAATTTTGTCTCCCTAATAGAGTTTTAAAATGACTATCTCGTGAAAATAAGGGGTCACGAAAATTTAGTGATCTACAGTATCCTAAAATGACTATATGATTTTAAAAGGTCTTGCCCTTATAAAGGATGGTGGGTTGGGGGCAACTTTTTTCCAAACATAACTTTTCACTGCTGACAGTGTTCATTTAAAAGCGGGTTGCCCTTTTTTGTTACAGTATAGTCATATAAAGGAAATTGTGTATGAATAAAATTTGGTGATGGGAGAAGTTAGATCCTACATACCCCCTCCCCCAACACACATAAATAATAAGGAAAACAAAATTAAGGCAGCTCATTTATTTTCTTCAAAGATTCAAAATTACAACCTATTCATAAATATCTATGCATTTACATAATACTCTTTTTTTACACTTAGGATTACAAAAGCATAACCTTTGGAATATATATTCACACTTAAAATAATTCTTTTTCAGTGAAGCAAATTGACATTTTTTCTTTGTTAGTTTATATTTTGTGCTAGAATTTAATATGAAACAACCATTTTAAAAAAATCATTCCTAAGTACATATTAAAGTTATGATCCCTGTTAAAGTTTATCTATGGCACATTTATATAAAAATATTTGAGTTTACATCTCACTCACAATAATGATACATATCTAGAAAACATAAGCACCAAATTATTTAAGATATAAAACTGGCATTCAAAAGTAAAACCTGTGTTAGCACATTTGATCACAATCAATTTTCAAGGTATAAAAAAAATCAACATTTTTTTTTGGTTCATATAAAAATGACTTGCAACAAACATTACAATTATTAATTAACTCTCTTTCCCTTGATTTTGATTAACTTATCATTAATTTATTCTCTTGTATACTTGTAAACCCGAGTAAAGCACATTTTTGGTTTCTCAGGCACCGCCGCATCACTTCAAAAACGGCCGTATTTCAATTTTCAATTTTATTGAACACAATTTTCATGCTTTCAATTTTCTACAGTGATGTGATTTTCATATATTTCCCTATTTTATGTTAACTTTTAAATAAATGTTTTAACATTATTTTAAGTTAAAAACTATTATAACAAACTTCAGTTATGAACTTATCATTTTAATGCATACTTTACTGTATTTATATTTTTACTTGTAACAATAAAGCTCATATCTGATTGCATGTACTTAATAGTCTTTTCTTCATTTAATTTTTTTAAATACATAACTGACTCCAAACATTTGAAATTATTTTTTAAAACACACACAAGGCATGAGAATTAAAACATTGTGAAAACCAACTGAACATGTACACAAATATTTTTTGTTTAATTATGGAAGACAATTCATTGCAATTAAGATCAATATTTTCAAAATTTCATTAAAAAAGGTACAACACAATATTTTTTATTTTGGAAAATCAAGTTAATTAACCAATAGAATTCATTATAAATAAATACAGTGTATGTCATGGTGTGATGTAAAAATTATGATATAAAACATAATACAATTTAGATTCATGTGTATCTAAAATTCTAACAAAAATATGTTATTTAGTTAGGAATGTATATAAAAATGGAATAGTAATCTTTCTGATTTCAAGCTAAAACAATTGAACACATGACCACAATTTACAATTAAATTAAGGCAGATTTATTTTTTGAAAAATTAATGCAATTTATATATCACAGACAAAACAGTTTCAATATCACTTCCATGGAAATTATTTCTCCTGATATAATACAATGCAATCACAGGGGCCAGTAAAATACTGTTTGACTTTACATAAACACTATTTCTTTCTGAATTTTTAGCGATTACATAAAATCCAGCATACTATGATACCAGCCCCTGTAAATGTAAGTGTGTATTTGCTTGAGATTAGCACTATACCTCAGAAACTGGATTTATTGATATGTACATACTTGTGAACAACAAAGTTCAAAATCATCTGATTTTCTAGGTAAATAGGATGTGTAAACTTGGAAGTTATTGACTAGTATTTTTTTTCTTTTAACTTAGCAGTGCTTTTGAACTCTGTAGATGCTGACATTTGACCTTAGACCTCTGTGGCTGTCAGGGGAGGGTAGGAGGCCATGTAATCCCCCTGAATCTCCTCCCGAACACTCTCACCCAGTAACTTTGTCTGTTCCTCCTGGCTATTTGTCATAGGTTTTACAATCTTGACTTTCCTTCTACACTTGTCACAAACATAGTCCAGAAACAACAGTGGAATCTACAGAACATCAAAATATTTAAAATATTAATAATGAATAAAAACTATATTTTTTAGATCTGTTTTTATTTTTACTGGTATGTTCATGTCACCATGCACTGGACCAAAATTAACCATGCATCAGACAATATCCAATGTATGGATGACTATTTCTTTTTTTTGGCTCCTATAATCAAAGATTTGAATCATATAGATTTTGCTTTGTTCATCTGTCTGTTAATCTGTTTATCCATTTGTCATTTCGTCTGCAATATTTTGACCTTGCCCATAAATTTTCATTGATTGGAGTTATGGCTTTCATATTTCATATGTGTATTCTTGGTAAAATGTTTTCTTTGGGTACCAACATATACATATATATATTTATATATATATATATATTTCTTAAGAAAACCCACTGATCTCTTACATTAGGCATGTTTGACTTTCTTTTTGCAAAATTTTACCAAACCTTACCATTCCAAGACAGGCAAAAGCAGTAATAGTGCAGCACCACTGAAATCCTACCACATCCAGTTTTAATTAAATGGTACTCACTTTTTGCAAAATTTTACCAAACCTTACCATTCCAAGACAGGCAAAAGCAGTAATAGTGCAGAAAATCTCTACAAAATAGAAACATTTTATAGACTTGTAGAGATCATGGAGATTTTAATAGGTCACACTCTTCTTTTCATTTTATAAATAAAAGCCGTACTTTCCAAAATAATGTTTAAATAAGAGGCCCAAGGACCTTAATGGTCATCTGATTATAACACCCGCAAAGGATTCATAGAATGCTTAAAATAATTAATATCATTAAACAGAATAATTGTATGATAGAGTAAAATAAGAAATACAAGAAATAAGCATATATCAATAAGTCGGTTTTTTTGGGAGTTAAATTTTGGTTTCTCAAAAACAAAGAAATGAGACAACATTATTGATCAAAATATATGTAATTTATGTATTCTGGTTAACAGCCACTACTATTTTAATTTGTTTTTGTATCTTAAGTGAGCATTAATATTAGAATGATATACATTTTCATATATACTCGCCTATAAGACTTTGGCAAAAAATTTTACTTATAAGGGGAGTTAAATTTACAATCGACTTATAAACCAACTATGTATATACCCAGTAATTACTTATAGGCAAGTCATAAAGAGATAGTCCTTGCATGTATTTTCTCTTATTCTGACAGCAAGGCATATTCTTGATACTTAAGTCATCAATACAACATACCGGTAGTTATAATAAGGTCATGTGACAAATGATACCAACTGCTACCCCTCAGAGTACAATGGCAATAAGCTGAAGTCTTACCCAAAGGCATACATGGATCCAAATAAGCCTGCTACTAAGCTGTAGGTGTTCATATCATCTTCAAAACCTAAATCTCTGTATAAATCAAGGCAATATGCATGTTCTGTTCAGCTTCAGAAAGGATAGCAAAGACATAATACAAAATTTAGTGAAACACACTACAGTAAAACTAACTTACAAAAAATTTATTTATAGTTAATGCTGACATTTTTTCTCATTTCAGTGCATATAGTTAGTAATACAAGTAATATATGCAAAAGTTTAATTTTAACTTGATGAATACTCACTCAGCAATGTAGAGGTAGATATCAAAGGTTGGAATTAATGCCAGACTAGCAGCTATACCAAGTATTATTAAGGCCAAAATGTTCAACCACAGCACACTGAAAACATAACAATACTCAAGTAATCAAAATTCTAATATATTAATTCCTAGTGCGCATGGTTCACAAAATGGTCATTTTAGCCAATAATCTATTATATATACATTTGTGGTATCTCTCCATTATATAAACATACAGAGAGAAAATATCTTCAATTCTGTATGAAGTTTGTCAGAGGTCCAAATGACAACGGCGCAATCAAGTACATAAATTATAAAATGACCTGCTGTACTTGCTTTTCAATAAAAAATAAAATGAATAAAATAAGCAAGTAAAATGATAATTATTTTATTTTAAATGTAAACAAGTATTTCAACAGTTTTTTTCATGTGTACATTCACAGCAATTTTTCTTCATTTTGTCATCTTTTTTATTTTTTGGATAGATTTTGGTTAACTTTTCATGATAAACTTTTATTTTATCTTTGAATTTTACTTGTGTAAATCTGTTGGAAAATATCTTTGCAATCATGCCATGAACAGCTGCCAAACACCTCGGCATTTTCGTAGTTCAATGTAAAGCTTGTAATCAGTGTTTTACGAAATGCCTTTAGTTACTTAACTGGCTCGGACAAGTGTTTCAGTCCATCGGATCCATCCATCCCTTTCCAGCGACCGAAATTCCCCCAACTTTTTATCATCAAACTTCGGACATGTTTCTTGTGTCTTTTCAGCATCGATTATCATTTTTCACGAATAAAATATTCCCAGACAACAATCTGTTCGCTATTACTGATCACAAGTAGCCTTTCACAAAATATTCCCTTCGAAATAGATTCCTTAGCCTAATGAATTCGAAGCGTAACCGCCATGCAAGCCGATTTACACCTTGTGTCATTTTTCAAAATCTACGACGGACGGTTAGTGCTATAATTTAAATTCAGAAATATTCAATTGTCTATCTCAAATGTATATATAAGTAATAAATAACAAGTTTAAATAATAAATCTTCTGACATATAACGGGAAACTTCAATTCCCATCTTGTTATTTATTTCTTAAATAAAACATAACCAACTTATACATCCAAATAACAATCAACATCCATTCAAGTAAATCAATTAATCATCAACATTTTTTTCATTATTCACAGCAATATGCATTTTTTTAATTGACAGCTTTGAGAAACTTGAAAAGAAAGACTAACTTGTAATCTTCTTCAAACCCTATCAGTGTAGAGGGCCCTAAAAGTGCCATGCCAACAGCAGAAAACAGGAAACCCGGAATCATCAGGAGTCTGTTGTCTGGCTAAAAATAACAAATAATAGACATATAAGGGAAATAATCAAAAGGCTGAATCTCATTGTATTACCTCCCCTTTACAAATAAGCAACTCCTGCATATTTAATTGACCTTTTTAATTGAATTTGTTTCAGAAAAAAATATATCCTCTGGTGATATTTGTGAGCTTACACATATCCTTAACATACAAATCTCAGAGAAATCTATTACACCACCTGTCCTTGTAACTTTGAACTTGTCTCATTGCTCCTCAGTTTCAGTTAAAATAAGTCTCTGTGCCCAGTAAGTATGAAATTATAATACTGATCTGTTACAATTTTTCAGCCTGGATTTGAAGTGCTACAAACATACAGATTCACAGATATGGTGATTCCTCTATACCCAAGACAAGATTATATGCCAAGATGCCAAAGGTCCATAACACTCACCTGCATCAAATTTCCTCTTCTAACAAAGGCATGTGAAAATAAAACCTCTGACTGTTATACATATGCCAAAATTTTCAATGTGCACAATTGTCAATGTAAACTACCATGGTAATAGAATCATTAATTTGAACCTTTCTCTTGAATACTTGAATCTAAAATAAATGAAAATGCTTGCTTAATTATTTGCTTGACTTCTTTGTATCTAAAATTATTCTCTACCTTTACATATACATACCCCCCCCCCCAGTTTTGAATGAGATTTGAAAATGTACAACATAGGGATATCTACATGTAATTGACTGAAAGTGCTTCTGCTCTTCTTGCACGAGAAGATTAATAAAGGATTTGTTCCTTTATTTAATTTTTTAATTAAGTTAATGATCTAAATGAACCAGATACAATACAAGACCATTTATCAATATCCTGTTTTTCCTTGTCTGGAACCTCTGAAGATTTCATATTGTAATGGGCCCATCTTACTTTTACCATTTAGTATCTCTCTCCCCTTTGCAATGGGGCATTTTTCTTGAAACATCTATATTTTTTAAACCCACCCCCCCCTTGGCCGATTATGGACGATTATTATTCAAGAACTTCATTGAAATTAGTCAAATGGTTCTCAAGAAGATAAACATTTGAAAAGAAAAGACGACCACACAAGCTTTGATAAGACTAGCTGGGATTTTAGCTCAGGTGAGCTGATAGGGTATACAATATACAACTTTCCTTACTTACCTCAAACACGGACCTCCTAACTTTTACGAGGAAAAGTTAATATCAATAAAACATTTATTTCTGTATGATCTCTCTCAATTTCTTTTATTAACAAATCCATTTCTTATTCTCCACAAAAGAAGGTCAGAGAAACAATATCACAACATACATGTATGTTAAGAGTTGCCACCTTGGTTAGGTTTAACAGAATAAAAATTGTTTGAAATTTTTAACGTTACCTCTTCAATAAAAAAATATAACTTATGCCAAACTCTTCTACAGTTTTAAGAGGAACATGGAATACTTACACATCTATCTGCTACCCATCCCCAGATTGGTGATGAAATGGCATAAAATGCTGACATGACCAGAAAAAGTACACCAATTAACTCCGGACCAAGGTCAAACTGAAATTTTAAAGACATTTCTGCAATGAGATCTTTGGAGTTTTCTCCATTTTATAATTAAAGCTTTTTTAAAAAAAATTTCAATGAATTTTTGTATTTCCATCACTCAGAAACCATGGACATTCCAAATGAGTTGAAGGCATCAACCACTTTTTTTAAGTACTGCTATTTCAATCTTAATATTCCAATCCTTCAGACAACTCATTTTTTTTTATTTGATCTTATCGAGTCTGAGATAAGAAAGTTCTACAGTGTCAACAGCAGAAATCATAATTTTCAAACTTCTTTTCAAATGAAAATTAAATCTTATCTGACATGAAATAAGTAATTGTAATAAACCCTTACTTCTCGTAAGTGAGGTTCCAGTGTTGGGTCTAGTATGGACCAAATAAAGGAGGCTACAATGATTGCTAAGGACGCTACAATAATGGAGGGTGATTTCAGCAATGTAAGGCTACTGGTACTTGATTCTGATTGCTCAAAACCTACAAATAAACAAATTTCACGAAATACGATATAAATTGACAAGTTCAAGTAATACGAGGGTTGTCCCAGAAAAACGCGAACTTTTTGAATATTTCCAATACTGTTAAACCAAAGCTAATAATATTTGGCATGCTGTTGGGAAATCATCTTTTAGATATTCTGACAAAATATTATGTGCCTGTGATGGCATGTGCATATAAAAATAGCATATAAATGATGTTAAATATCGGTAGTTGGCGCACGACAATTTTTTTTACTTTTACAAATAGCATTGTCATTGAAGTTTTCCTTGTCATCAGGCTACATGAGAATGTAATGTCAAAAATTTTACTTACATAAATACTCTATGACTTGGTGTACTTGTATTTAAAATTTCATTTATTTGACATCATTATTGGCAGTTATATGACGATATATACCAAAGCGCTTTCAATTAGACATAGTCAAAAATGGTGACGATAAGCGGTAATGTGGAGCACTAAATTATCAAGCAACACTATGTTGAGCGGAATATGGATATGTACGTAGAGAAAAAAAAGATGTTAACGATGAAAAAACATAAACATAGCTATGAGAAACAGGTTTATATCAAGTAAAAGAGGTTTCAGGTTGACTTGAATGCTTATCTGATAGTAGAGAATAGACCACATACTAGTAAATAAAGACGAACTGAAAAGGCAAGACCAGGACGTCATAGGCATACGTGAAGACTGCTGTTTAATAATTTGATCCGTTAGGTTTATGATCGGGATTTTGAAATTGTCTATTGAAAGAATTAACTCCCCAATCTTTAGGTTATACTAGTATTTGAGATGTATAACTTGGTAACTAAAACAAAATTAAATACATTGCTGAATGTGATTAAATGAATATTTATAGAGGCACATTTTCCAGAAAAAATTCGTAAACAATACGAGATACATTTTGACGTTGTCAGTCTTGCGCCGACAGCTGATTTGATAGATTCGTTTACCTGAGAGGAAAATTTTATTTATAGAGGTATTTCAATGAAATTTTTAGGCATCATTCAAAATATGTTCATTATGATTTACAGTATGCCAATTTTTAACTTTATAGTCCAAGTAAAACAAAAGATATTAAGAATATTCGTGTTTTTCTGGGACAACCCTCGTATAGTATTTAGTCTACAGGCACACATTATATTCTTCTTTGAGATCTTTTGATGATTCATCAATACAATGAAATTTTGCAAATCTTATTCAAAGAAACTTAATCAAAACTTTTTCCCAAAGGCTTTAGCCACATAACCACTATATTCAAAGTTCATTATAAAGCTGTGTGGCTTACGGTCATCAGGAGGTAGAATAATCCAGTTAACTGGAACACAGATTATAATGAGGACGCCAATCACTAGGAATGGGGTAAAGAACCCTCCCAACTGAAACAATTCAAGAAAAGTCACATGAACATTCAATTTTTTTTTCAGAAATAATAAAAGATTTCATTGAATAATATGAATACATGCTCAAACTATGAATCAACAGTCCACTTGTGAATTTATGTTCTTCCTATTTGACATTGAATCTTTTCATGATATTATAAGAACTTGGGCAGTAAGGAATCTACAGTAAATGTATTACGGTACATGTACATGCACAAAAATTGAACATGCTCTTAAAAATACTTAGTTATGACAGGCTATCTAGCAGAATGAATATAACTTACATATACCTTGAAAATAACTTTACTTAGAAAACAGATTACAAATATCTTGCTTTATTTAATGATAGAAAAGTTCTTTAAAGCCCCTGTCCATGCCTTTATTTGGGGCAAAATAAAACACTTGAAATTTGTGTGATAGTTAGATTCTTCTGCAAAGAAATTAAGTAATCCTTTAACAAGTACATATGTATATACCCCATAGAGAACACCACCAATGGCTGGTCCTGACATGAATCCCACACCCACAAACACCTCTCCAATACCCTGAAAGAAAAAATACGGCGTGGTATAAGTAACCTTACAATGTCAAATATTGTAACCTGAACTTGAGAAGGCCAAGAAAAGAACACTAGCATCAAAATGTCTAAAGGTTAAAGATATTAATGTTTTTAAAAGTATACATAAAGAAAATATAATTGAAAATATAACTGAAACTTCTTGATCACTTTGACATACATGTATTTCTTTATGCAAGATGTTGAAGATACTAAAGTTCAACAGTACAGGTATATAAATGTCTATTTTCAAGTGTCTATACAACTGATGAATATAAAACATAATAAATAAATGTACAATAGAGAGACTTACAAAAACTGTAGCAATATGGTCTGGGAATTCTTTGGCACAGACAGTGTAGCATGCTGTATTGAGGGCAGTACATCCCACAGACAGAAAGACCCGGAGTAAGAAACATAGCACCACGAAAGTCAGGGGGCCGTCATCTACCGGAACATAGGCCATGGCACTGGAAAAAGTCACAGATAGTAAGAGGTAAAACAGGTGTCAACTTAATGAAATATAATGATTACCTTACATCATTGAGATGGTGGCCATCTCAAAGGGCCCCGCTTTCAGCAATGAACATGAAAATGTAAGGGAGCTGAAAAGGGTTTTGACTTTGATCCTTGACCTAGAAACTTTGTTCAAGGTCAATGCACATCCCTTGACTAGTGGCACCTTGTGAGTGAAGTATAATGAGCCACATTGGACCAATGATAGAGAAGAGAAGCTCTGAACAAGGATTTTCATACAATTCTGCTATGACCTTGACCTTAGACCTAGAAACATGATTCAGGGTCACTGCAGAACCTTTACCCAAAGACACTCTATAGGTGAAGTATGAGCCAGATTGGAAAGAGGAGATATGCTCCGGACAAGAGATCTCGGATGGACAGATGGATGGATAGACAGACTGATAACTATAAGGCGTCCGAACAGCGTGACCCTAATAAGTCAAATCATGCATTGTTATATGTAAATCTACAAAAAGGAATCTTATGTATGTTGTAAATGTATCTCTTCATTTTTTTTTTTTTAAGATCCGAGAGCAAGCTTTTATGTTATCATTAGTTATAACTGAAAAATATATGCTCAAAAGGTTAGATACAAATGATATATAGTAAAACAAATTAATGTATACATTTATTCTATGATTTTTTTTTAATTTATTGTATGTGTGCATTGTGTCAGTTCTTTGAATTCGGTCTGTGAGAGTATAAGTAGCATTATATATATTTATAAGTATATCAAATTACCCAAACAAGAGAGTGCATCCACCACTTAGGAATAACCCTGATAAGAACATGAATTTGATGCCCACATATGGCAGCTGAAAGAAAAAATAGATCGATATCATTTACGTCTTTCTTTTCAAATATCCAAATTTGAGAAAAAAAATTTCAGCCAATAAAATGTACAATCTTAAAATTATTATTCTCATACAAGAAAGTTGGAGGGGATATAGTAACACATTGTGTGAATTGGTGTGTCACTGTGTGTATATGTGCATAATGAAAGTATTATGTAAGTAATAATTTATATCTGCCACAGTCAGTGTGCTCTTTTGCATTAAGGTGCTCTATTCTGCAGTGTCCTTGTTTAAAATTGTTTAAGGCTAGTCTTATTACAATATGTTACCTGTTGTTTTAGAGAGAAAGGGGAGAGAGAGAGAGAAGGAAGGAGTAAACTCACCATTTTTCCAAAAAAGGGAGAGAACACAACTTGGCTTAAGGCAAACACTCCAAATATCCAGCCTGATATCGTATCATTGACGCCTTTTGATGATGCCTGAAATAAATGATCAGTTAAAGGTCTATCACAACCATTATGAAAATACTCAAAAGTATATTTAATGTATGTACAATATTTCTTTTATTTGAGTAATAAATTAAACAGAAATCATTTTAACTTGTTATTACTATGAGTTACTTGTTCAGATTTACGAAGTTTTCACACAAATAGCTTTTTCATGTGACACGTTTTTTGTTAATTGGTTTAAAAGATATATAAGTGGTGAATAGTTTTTTGTTTGTTAATGTTCTATTTTAACAAGAAGTCCAAGGGCATTAACAGTCACCTGAGTATAACTAATGAATGAATTTAAAGTACATGTGTAGATATAATTTGAGTAGTTTTTTTTCATGTACAGAAATGTAAACAAATTTTTAGAATTCACACACCATTACAAACACAAAAGCATGTTTATACCAAATACTGAATGCTATTGGAGATGCTTGGTACTATGTGTAACTATTCTACAAGAAACAAAATAATGCACATATATATCATACATGTACTTCATATATGCATATACAAAATGTATATAATTAAATAATGTTACTATGGACTCATCTCTTGTTTATTTTATTCTACAGAAAACTGATATTTTATTGATTATCAACACACACAAAAACTGGACACTTAATCTCAATAATCTGAGAAGGTTAAAATTACCAGTCATTTTTTAAAGATATTCAAGAATTTACAGCAGTAATTAAACTTAATGGACCAAAAGTGTGTTAGAATATATTACCAAATAAAAAAAGTACATGCAGTTTTAGATTATCATTGAGTAATTCAGCAAGGTATTTAGATATTTTTCACTGCTTCTCTAAGTTTAATGTATTCTAAGTACATACAGTTTAAAAATTTTAAGAAAAATGCAAAACACAATTACATGATACATGCGTTGTTTAAAATTTATAAAGGAAAACATGCAAAACACAGTGATTACATCATAAAAAGCATGTACATGCAAAAAGTGTAAATAAATTTACATGTATGTATGAATATTTACATGCATGTTTTTCACAGTGCACATTTCAAGGTACACATCAATGCAAGCAAAAGCAAAGTGATATTAACACAATAATTAATATTTTTAATCCTAAAAATGATAATTTAAACACATATAAATATAAACAATGCTGTTTGTTGTTAGAGACATAAAAAAATGTATATAACCCGCTGATACGCGGGTTATGTATTTTTTCTGCAACATGGTATAAATTCTCTTTGAAAGCATTTTATTGTTTAAATGATATATTATTTGAACTCACCTCCTGTGGGAAAAATGGTGCAAGCAGTGACAAGCAGAGATAAGAAAGAAAGTCTGCCATGCAAATGCTACAGAGGATGGCCTTTTGTTTCCTATGTAACGCAAAGAAAGAGAATCCAGTGGTTTCTGAGGTAGGTGTGGAACTGGTGTCATCCTCTGGTACTCGTTCATATTCATTGTTCACATCAGTAGCCGATGACAGTTGTTTAGCATCTGGTAAGGATGAGTAATTGGAGTACGGCGATTTTCTGTCTTCTACTGAGTTTCTCTGATCTTTCCTCTTGGGAAGAAGGGACGATGACTCATCAGTCTCCTCATCTTCGCTGTGATCAGACATAAGCCTTAGGAAATGTTGTCAGTATCCCCTGAAATGAAAACAAATAATTATAAAGATTTATTTTCCTGTGAAACACAATTCTTTATTTGCTTTGAGATTCCACATCAGTAATGTGTTACCTTTATGCTATTTTAAATGGTATCCTATTTCATTCCATAAGAATGATGAAAAACAGAGAAGCATGCAAAATTTAAAAAAATTGCATGAACTTAAACATGTTAAAAATATAAGCTGAAGCTTTGGACAAGTTCTCAACTTTACATCCAAGATACACTCATTACACTTAATTAGAGGCCGGATTAGAAAATACCACGATCACTAGACCTCTGAATATGCTGGCATTGTAGATAGTAAAAACAATCTAGGGTATGATAAAGTTATGTGCATAATTATCGCGATAACATGTTGCTGTCGTTTTCTGCAATAAATCAGGATTGTGTACCTCAGTCATCATACTACATGTAATTTATCTCTCTGTGATACATTTTTTGTGTGTATTTGCATAAGTTATGAGTCAGTTCAATCTAGACAGAAGTGCAGAAATCTGTGGTTGAATAACAATAACTAGAACATAGCGCTCAGGTGACCCGAAAATCCATGCATGATTACACAACTCAGGTTAAAAAATGGAATAAATAAACAATCACATGAATATTTTTACCTTCACTTAGAAATGTTTGTCTGCATTCATTTAGTTGTATCGTTGCATTTCATTTGCACCTATGTCACGCTGAAAAGACAACATTCGAAATTTTCCCTTGCGTACAAAGTGAAAGCCGTCAACCATTGTCCTGTCATGTGACCTAGCTTGGCCTTGATGTCATGTGACTTGACTATACATACAAACGCGCGAAAATTCAAACCATGAAATATGTTGTAGATCTATGCTTTTCAGCTTTAATATTTCAATTATCAAAAAAGTGCAATAAGTTTAATTGCAATGGAATCAAATTTTTCCAATTCATCTCTGCTACGACTCATCAAATTCAAATCAAAGTGCTTTTAAATGACAAGTACATTTTAGCAGTCTGAGGAGCAGCTGGTAGCCCCTAAAAAGCACTATATAGGATCATAGGTCCATAAGACATGACATGAAATAACACCCATACTTACCACCATATTCAATGCTTCCATTGGACAAGGAAAGATACCTGATCAATGGAAAGAGGCCCTCATAACACCATTATTTAAAAAAGGAGACAGTCTCAGGAAAGGCTTCAAACTACAGACCAGTCTCCCTAACATCTATTTGTTGCAAATTAATGGAGCATATACTACAGAGCAACATCATCAGGCACGTAGCATCGTTTTTGAAAGTGGGGGGCCAACCTGAGAAAAATTTTTTTTTACTTACCTGAAAAAGTTGACAAGCAAAAAAAGAAACACGAAAATTAAAAGTTGCCCAAACTCGAAACTCCTATTTCGTAAAGGGGGGGGGGGGGGGGGGGGGGGGTAATGGCCAACTTTTTCAAAGCCAACTTACTATTACTTCAAATTTTTTCCTTACAATCCATGCTATCACTATACTATTGTTATAAAGTGGGGGGGGCCAACCATCCCATCAATGAACATTTACTATAGTAAAGGTTATGTTGGGGAAAAAAGTGGGGGGGCCAGGCCCCCCCTGGCCCCCCCGGATGCTACGTCCCTGATCATCTCACGTACACCTTGAGGCAAATGGAATATTATCGGATTACCAACACGGGTTTCGCAAACAAAGATCTTGTGAATCCCAGCTCATCATAGCACTCCAAGAGCTATAGCCAATGGATTGAATAGTGGAGACCAAGTGGACTAGCCCTGTCCTTCTTGATTTCTCCAAAGCCTTTGACAAGGTGCCCCATCAAAGGCTCCTAAGCAAGTGTCACTGTTATGGTATAAGAGGCAGGGCATTAACGTAAATATCGGTATTATATTAGATTTATCGTAACTTTTAATTATTGAAAATTCAAGAGTGGAATCGCGATCAACAGTTTTCTTAATGGTCGTACTCAGAAGGTCGTCTTAGAAGGGAATTTAAGTCATCAAGAACATCAGACGTCACATCAGGGGTCCCACAGGGAATGGTGCTTGGCCCACTTCTCTTCCTAATTTACATTAACGATCTTCCAGAAAGAGTAACATCAACAGCCCATCTTTTTGCGGATGACTGTTTACTTTACAGAAAGATCAGTAAAGAAGAAGACACCAATTACATCCAACAAGACCTTGATAGACTGCAGTCATGGGAAAACGATTGGTTAATGTCATTCAACCCAGATAAATGTGAAGTGCTGCGTGTGACCAACAAAAGGAAACCGATAATAAGAAACTACACCATCCATGGAAAGAATCTATAGCCACAGTAAAGTCAGCAAAATATCTAGGCCTTAACGTCAGTAGCAACTTATCATGGAATCAACACATTGGAACAATTACAAAGAAAGCAAACAACATCACTGCTTTTCTGAGACGCAACATCAGCACATGCCCTAGCACTATCAAGACGCAGTGTTACACGTTAATAGTAAGACCAATAGTGGAGTATGCTTCCATCATATGGGACCCATGCAGTAACTCAGAAAAACATCTATGAACTGGAAATGGTACAAAGGCAAGCAGCACGCTTCATTACTGGGAATTATAGAACAACTAGCAGTGTGACTAGGATGCTCGAAGATCTACAATGGCCAACACTACAGGAGCGCAGACATAAAGCAAAGGTCATCATGTTTTATCGTATTGTTCACCATCTTATCGCAACACCAACGCAAAACTACCTTGTACCAAGGGGAGCTAACTTAACAACACGGGGCCATAACATCAGGTTCTTGCTCCCTTACTCCAGAATTCAGGGTCATCAGCAGTCCTTCTTTCCATCAGCAATAACACTATGGAACAACCTACCATCTACTCTGTCAGTGCCTCTAGCCTGGAGAGTTTCAAAAACAGCATTGGGGCAATCAGAATGACCTAGCTCCGACAGTTTTAATTGTAAATATCACCAGAATGGTTTTTATGAACTGTAAATAGATCGTTGTTTCCTCATGGGCAAGTGTACATAGTACCAATCATGACAATACACCAGAAGGTGGTTTGTGGTTTAAAAGGAAGAAGAAGAAGAAGACCTGCCCTGGGTTAATTAGTAATGTAGCTGCAGATCTGTAGCTCTCTGGTCTAAAAAAATGGGTTGGACGACCAGAGCTATGTGACACCATTTCACGGCCATTGAAAAATAAGTGTATATTGCACACCAAAAATTGTGTTGTACGTTTCTTGACTTTTTTCACTGTATATTTCAAAATATTACAAATCAAGAGTTTCTTGCCTATTTTTATACTACATGTACTTCCATGACAAAACTGCATGTTCAGTCAAGCACAAAGTACACTGGACCAATAATTTGCCATCTAACATGGCGGTTTATAAGTGAAATTTCAATGGTTTCAAGGCCCAGAAGGGCTTAAATTTCAATGGTTTTTACTACTGTTTTGTTGTGGAAATAATAATGAATATATGCTAGGAAGACAAAGTTAGTAAAATTTTGAAATGAATAAAAATAATAGATATACACATGTAAGCCTTTTTCAGTGGGTGGCACTGTTAAGCTCTCTGGTCACCCAATATCCAATATTTAAAAAAAACAGAGAGCTACACATAGATCTGCAGCTATAAGTAATGCGACATGAAGTTTGATATTTTGTCTAATGATCGAATAGTTTCTTAAAAACTGGGTTTAGTACAAAAAAAAGGAGAGGGCTACATTATTGCAGCTAGGTTTAGTACACAACAAAAAGTATTTATTCAAATGTCAAGGTAAATTAAAGTAAGGCCACACCAATTAGTTTCTTGTTCATCGGACATTTGATGAGAAAAGTAAGAGCGAGCTAGCGGTTAAATAATAATATTATTACTTTTTTGAAAGCAAAATTTTAAGGCGGGGCGTTAAAAAATTTGAGCGGACAATTATATTTTTTCTGATTTGCAGATTAAGTAGATTAAAAGAACGATAAATAGAGCGGAAATGTAACAGAAAATAGCACAGAATTCCAATGGTGCGGGAATTTTAAATTAATATTATTTGTATAGTTTTGTTAAAATACTATCGTGCGGGTCAGTCGAACAATAAATTTTATTGGTGTGGCCTAAGAAATAAAAAAATCAAAAGGCCCATGGGCAACAACGCTAACCTGACTCGTTTTACCTGCTGTTCTTCATCAGATTTCCCCCCTAGTAATATTTTGATTCCCTATACTGGCATAATCATACTCCTAGGGGACGTGATTATATCAATTTATAATCTAAACTATGTAACAAAGTTTTCACATAGATTTCCTCTTTTCTGGGTGATTGATTCTAGTGCCCTGTTCACACGGAGAGATTAATTCGAATTAAACGTAAGTTTACTGCGAATTAGCTTCGCTTAGCGTTCACACGGTGAATTTAATGCGAATTAGTTTAATTCGAATTAATTTACTGCGCATTAAATTACTTCGCATTAGCTCCGTGTGAACGCTAAGCGAAGCTAATTCGAATTAAATTTTGACGCATGCGTAAGGCCAGAATTAAGTCACAGGACACGTGTTGGTGGTTATATATAGGTATTTGTGCTATATTTGGTTAAAAAATTGAGGGAAAGTATATTAATCACTAAAATCAATGAATACCTGTAGCCACTACATGATGTATTAAAGGATGGCTCTGCATACATGACGTGATTTACAAATGACGTCATAATAGACTTACTGACGCCTGACTGTAGAAGAAAAAATTTAATTCGCATTAGTTTACTTCACATTAGCTGTCGTGTGAACGCAATTTAATTCGCATTAATTTGATTCGCATTAGTTTACTTCGCATTAATTTAATGCGAATTAAACTCGTCGTGTGAACAGGGCATAGAAAAGGTCCATAATTCATACGTTTTATATATCTCAATGTAAAACTTTGATTCCCCATAGTTGCCCGACCCTTCCCCCAGGGCCATGATTTGTACAGTATGAATATATTTTCACTACCTCAGAAAGCTTCCACATATAAGTTTAACCTTATCTTGTCCAGTGGTTCTTGAGAAGTTTTTTTAAGGATTTTTTATATACATTTCAGTGTAAAACTTTGGTTCCCTATTGTGGCCCCACCCTTTTAAAGAGCCAATATTTGAACAATTTAGAATCTACACTACCTCAGGCATCTTCCAGATAAGTTTCACATTTTCTGGCCCACTTGATCTTGAGAAAATAATTTTTGATGACCACAACCTCTTTTTGGCTTTTCTTGATCATCTCCCCTTGGAAGGGGGCTTGACCTTTCATTTAAACAATTTATATAATTAACCTCTTCATCACCAAAGTGTGTTTTGTACCAACTTTGGTCAAAATTGGCCTAGTGGTTCTTGAGAAGTTGGAAAATGTGAAGTTATACATGTAATTAACAGATGACAGGGTGCATGATCAGAAAATCTCACTTGAGCTTTCAACTCAGATGAGCTTAAAACACACTAGTCTTAATAATTTCTCATAAATTAATGCATAATTTATTTATTTCTATATCAAATATAAAACAAAAAGTTTTATTAACTAAGTTTGTTAAACTAGCAAAAATTTACATATTTCTTTTAATCCTTTACATATTACTTATTTCCCTAATTTCTGATACAGATTATACATAACAAACTACATTAAGCACTTGGCCACTTCAAATTGAATTTTTAAAGAACTGAATCATAACGCATATGTAAAATGATAAGCCATTAAAGATGATTTCATATTACATGTACATTGTAAAACTATTATCACAGAAACTTCATTAAAAAATTAGTACACATATGTATCACAAATCCATATTGAGGCACAATCATTGCAGCTATGAGATCACATTAGTATGTAAAAAAAAAAAAAACAACATAAATTGCGAGGAGTTTGCATTACATGGCACATAATGGAGCATAAATATATACTCAAAGGGGACATCTCTCACACCCTCAGCTGAAGTTGAAGTAAACACCCTCCCCCATAAAATGTTCACCACTCACAACTCATATGGGAATAGTGCTCCTTTTATATAAGGTAATATATGCTATATATGTTCATATGCTTTACATGTTCCATGTAACAAATGGAAAGCATGAATTGTAATTTAATCTTGGCACTAAGAAAGTCATTAAATATAAACTTTATCATCAAATGAAAATCTTAAGAAGCAACCATAATGGTAGTAAAATTGGCTGAAACAATTTGGCAAAGGGTAAACAGTTTTACAAAATAATGCACGTCAAAGTATTCAAAATATTCAATTTAGCAACCAGATTCTAAAAATACCAACAAACCCACTAAACTTTTCAAGAAAAGCAACAATGTAACAATCAAAAACAAATAAAAACCACTGGCCAAATCATCACATCAGATCATAAAATCATCACATCAGATTACAATTTTTTTTTATCAGAGGATCCTCAGTTCTCTAGTGTCCCCATGAATGAGTTCCTTGCCACTGAAGCCTCCGTGAAACAGGATTTTGTCCTGGGAGATGCAGCAAGCATGGCCGGCCCTCACCACTCTGCTGGTCCCCACTTTGTAGAAATTAATGTTAGGTTTATTGGTCATCAGTAGAATGTCTCCCACGGGCTCCGAATTCTGACCTCTGAAAGTTTCCCCACCATGGAGAAGAATGGTTGATGAACCTTCTACAGCAATGTGATACTTGCGACCTCCTGGCATTTTTGACAATGGCGGTAAGGATTTTGTGATTGTGATGATTTTCTCCATTAAATTATTTTTGGGATGTCCACTCCTGTAGCCTTTATGTACTTCTAGCAATTGATCACTTCTTCCTCCAATTATGTATAGAGTAGGGCCAATGAAACTTGTTGTATGTCCAGACCTTGATTCAGTGAATCGGCTGTATTCTTCAAAATGGAACTCATTGGATTCTGGACTTCCCTTTAACATGTACACATTGCCCGTGTATTCCTTGCCTGGCTGCATACGGAGAGTTCCCTCCCTTCCTATCACTATTATACTCCCATCCCTCAGAAGTGAGGCCGTGTGAGAACTCAGTCCGGCATCGTCTGGAAACCCCGTCACTCTGGGGTAGATCCACTCCTGTTTTTCTGCATCAAAAATCACCACAGCTGATGTTCTGGTTTTTCCATTCCAACCACCAATCAGAACCATGTACCTCTCAGCCATTGGGATACAAGCATGATGACTAAGAGCTGGACTGTTTTCCACTCGGACTTCGTTCCATATCATGGTATCCAGATTCAGCTTGAAGATTTTACTGCAGGGCTGAGTACTGTATCTCTCCTCAATCCCTCCATGAACATATAGATAATTTCCTGTAATAAAAAAAATTAAACTAGAAATATGTCTATTAATAGGACATGAATGTGTCGCCCAGGGTTCATTTAATTAAGAAATGAATTTAATTTTTGAGAATTTATGAGGACATGAACTTTGATGCTTCACGCTGGCATATTTCAAGAAGTGCACTAGTGCTTTGTGATAAATGTGCCGGCGTGAAGCATCGTAGTTGATTTTCCACATAAGTCTCAGAAATGAATTTATATCTTATATATATATTATTTTTCTGACAACTTTCCACAAATTCATTTTTACACAATGATCATTGTTGAAACAAAACAGTTTGATTTAGTATGGTATTGTGACAACACAATGGAAATATTAGTATTCATTCATGGTAGTTTATGAGAACATGAGCTTTTTCTAATTTGCAAAGAATCTTGATGAAATTTACTACTTAAAAACGTTTCATACACTGTAATATGTATTAGTGTATGAAGTTTGATAAAAATACTAGTATCTTCAATAGATTCTTTCAAACTGAGTTTTAAACACAATAAATAGTAGAGTCAAAACTTCCATCATCTTTGCTAGCCTAGGGTTTTCAATCCTCTCCACTCCACTCCCCATAAATGTTGTGAACATTAAGTTTGCAGTTTGAAGATCATTCAAGTTATTGTTTCAATTAAAATAGTTGATGGAAGGATGGATAAAATATTTCAGACAGTATGATAGTCAAACATTCTCTGTGATTTCTATAAGGCATTCATTCACATATTGAGGATGTTTTCATACTTTAAACTGGAATGTAAAAATCAAATTGCTTACCCAACACACAGGCAACATGAAATGCAAGTTTTGGTCCTATAGGGCAAAAGATTTCCCAGTCTACCAACAAATTGTCCTGCAATGTGCTCCTTTTTGACATTATGTCAACATCTAGAAAAGAAAAATAAAATAATTTAAGAATATAGTTGAGGTAATTTCAGGGTCATAATTTTTGGTCTACAGGCAATTGTCCTGCAATTCCTCCTCTCTGATACCATATAATAAGAATTTTTAGTGAGACACAAGAGCGATCTGAAATAAAAATTTTAAGCAAAGTAACTTTTAGCACTTTTATGTTGCATAGAAAGATAACAGTAACCTTTAATGTAAAATAAATTTTTAGTGATAACTTTTAATTTAGTGAACTCACTCCCTCTTTAAAAATGTCAATGAATCCTCACTAAAATTTCTGCCATAAAGTATGTCATTTGAAGCTATATCTTGCAATTACACTCTTGCTTTTTGCATATTTAAATGGCACAGAGCAAGTACATGTAAATGTAAAATCATTTCCATGCAGTACATGATGGATAAGGACAAGATTCCAATCCATTCTCGAAAATCCTTTAACATGGACTCTATGACAACAATTCCGTCTATTGACACAACAGTCAAAGACATGGGCAATGAATTGAATATCATTTAATATAGTATTTAAAATATACATGAGCCTATTTTGTGCATTCAACAATTGACACAGATGGCACCATCTGATTAAAGTCAGCTATTGATTAAAATCATCATTATAATAAGCTACTGCTTCACTGTTTTGTAACCAGTAGCTTATCAGAACAGCTGATTTTATAGATAATCAAAGTGACAGATGGCAAAAATTTTAAAAACTTTAAATATTCATTTAAACTATGAGGATTGTAATTATTATTATTTTGGCCAAGTCTGGAACATTCATTAAAATTTAGCTATGTAGCTTGAATTAACTATATAAATTTTAATATCAACCTAGCTACTTGAGATGGCTTCATTTCACTCCAACTTATAAGCATTTTTTCCAAGAAGTACAACAATTGCATTTTGATGCAGTAATTATTTTCAGTTTTGAATTATTTTAATCTAAAATAGAATTCATCAAAAAATCATTCTTGAAGGTGTGTCTCTTTCAGAGCAATTGCAGTCAAAGCTGTAAAAGATTATGGGGCTACGTAAAATTAACAGTTAACTTGTGACAAAGTTCTTACTTCTTGAATGAAATACTGTAAATGTATTATATTTTGCATGTATGATAAGACCGCGGAACATTAACTGGCAAAATTGGAAATATACAGCTTACGTCATTTCTATATGTTACAATCAAAACATTCAGTGATAGACAATGAAATGGAAGGGTACAATTCGACGCGGACGTGGGGAAAACATCGGATTGAAATTGCAGATCGAAATTCATTTTCAATCCACCTGAGCTGTTTTCAAAGCAAAGAGTGAATGTATGATCCAAAAATAACTAATTTCAACTCCCAAATACATATTGTTTGAAGTTCACATTAATATGAGTTTTAGCTTATAATTTTAAGAACGCTAAAGATCATAGAAGACAAAGATTATTTTTCAGGAGATAATTATTTGATTGTAGAAGGGGGGGGGGTAAAAAATTGTCGAGTCAGACAGGTCATGACAATATATTTTATTTCTAGGATTATAAGAGTGCATGAGTTTTATATACTTATTCTCACTAAAAACTGTTGGACAACTTTATTGAAAAGTCGTTCACCCCCCCCCCCCCCCCAACCAACACAAAGATATTCATATATTTACCAAACAGAAATGAAATATTTGTCCCTTAAATATTAATTTATTTAGAACACTGGACAAAAAAATTCATACTGTACCAAAATTGACTTTATTTGTCTTCTGGGTCAATCAGTAATAACGTGCCTTCTAGCGTAGCTATGGTGGATTGAAAATGAATTTCGATCTGCAATTTCAATCCGATGTTTTCCCCACATCCGCGTCGAATTGTACCCGCCCATTTCATTGTCTATCACTGAATGTTTTGATTGTAACAGATAAAAATGACGTAAGCTGTATATTTCCAATTTTGCCAGTTAATGTTCCGCGGTCTTATTTGGTAGAAATTAACTTTTCAGCAAGTTGGCATCCATTTGATTTAGCGCTATCTGAATGTGCTAGATATAAAGGTATGATATATACAAGACATTTAGCGATGTACTTGATTTTACAGACTCAGCTTTCTGTAAAAATCGCTAAATAGAATTCACCGCTAAATGTATATAATACTTTTACAGTAACAATGAAGAACAGTTCTGCATGGTTATGTGATAACTAAATGGTAATAATTTTTAACCCGGTATTTCAACACAAAAGTGTTAAACTTTACTTATTTATGCTCCAAAGTGGGTTGCACACATGCACATTTTCTAAGAAATAGAAAATAATTCATCTTTTGCTTAAAACTGTTCAAATGCTGTCTTTGCTCAGAGTTATTTTTTAAAATTACCTATCAGGTGTAGAATACTTGCAATTTTTTGTCTATTTTCATAAAAAAGCAAAATTTGTAAAACTTTCATTGAAATAGCTATGGATAAAGCTTCTTTAAGTATCTAAGACCATAATAAATAAATTGCTAGATTCTCATCCGATTTAAAAAAAAATCGAGGCGGGCGGGCGGCTTTTATTTTATATTTTTTATTTTTTCAATTTTGCAGATTTTCTATTGACCTGGTCAATCGGTGTAATTTTATATACAATACTCGAATAAAAGTCATAGTAAAGGTTCAATTATCTCTTACTTCACATCATCACCAATCTTTTTCAACCAATGATCCTTGTTTAAAATATATACGCATGTACAATTACCATCTTTTCAGCTGTCAAAATCATGTCGACTTTCGCAGGATTTAAAACAAAAGTAGAATGGTAGATGAATACCAATCCCGATCAGAATTAAGACGAAGAAAAACAGAAATAAAAAAAATCAAGGCGGGGGTATAAAATCGGGGCGGGCGGGGATGAGAATCTAGGAATATTTTTATTATGGCCTAAATAAAGTATATATGTTTTTGTTTGTTTGTTTTATTTTTACAGTCCCTCTTAAAAATTTTTTCACTCATATGATGCCACTTTTTGCTAGCAGACGACTGCAAATTATATATACTCAGTATTCACATCCATTGAGCAGTGAGGGATCTTTTTCTTTTACTGGGACACAGGACCTCATGTGATGACATCCAAAAGACCAATCTACATGTCCTGCAGTGGGATTTGAACCCACAACATAAGGATTAACTCATTATGCTTTATCATTAGAGCAGAAGCTCTAACCGCAACAGCTACATAGCAATAAAGACACTGACTGTACTGGTCCTGTGTATAGTGGATGGATATATTAAGTTAGAAAATTTCAGTATCTTTTATAAAATATGATATGTCAATAGAATATTTTGCAGCTCGAAAATCCTAGCAACTTTACACCGTTTAGGCGTAAGGACAATACTCAAGTATAGGATTGCAGGGGCGTAGCAACAGGGGGGGCCAGGGGGGCCTGGCCCCCCACTTTTTTTCCCAACCTTACTTATACTATAAGAAATGTTAATTGAAAGCCTGGTTGGCCCCCGCACCTTAGACTTTTAGCGATGTACCGTATTAAAATTGGTACAAGAAGTAGTTGAAACTGAGAAAAAAAAGTTAACGTAGCACCCCCACCCCACCCCACCCCAACGCACGAAATAGGATTTTCGACTTTGGGCAACTTTTTCCTTTTTTTTTTTGGGGCGGGTCAGCTTTTTCAGGTAAGTAAAAATAATTTTTTCTCCAGCTGCCCCCCCCCCCCCCCACTTTCAAAAACGATGCTACGCCACTGGATTGTACTTGACATTTTCTCTCTTCTTCTCTGAGGGCCAAATATTGAAATAATCATTTTAAACATTCAGATCCAATTGATTGATAAAATGTTTTGTCAAGGCATGCCGACTTCGTAGATCTCAACACTAACCATTTTTTCCCTGCACCTGTAATTCTGTACCCATGTTGTCACACCCTGTGAGGCTGTGTCCCAGTGTATATCAAATACTATATGCTTTATAGCTATAGCCAGATAGCTGCTGCTACAGAGTGGGACCATTGCCCATTCTAGTTCAAAGCTTAAACTGACAAGACACTCTTTCAATTTTAAGAAATAATTCTTAGTACCTTGATTAAGAATCCGTGTGTCTGACTGTCTTATTTCTGTACAATTTATCAGGTTGGCAGCAAGACAGGAGTCCACATGTTTTTGTTTACACCGCCATGTTGGTAAATCGAAGGGCGCGTGATTTCCCGGATGTTTTCTGCGCGCGCATGGTTTCCTCCATCCTGAGCCGAATCACATCTTGGGTGCCACCGATTGTACCGAAAATAGCCAATATTTTCCCAGATAACACTACACAGTCAAAAATGGTGTGTGATATGCCTTTTATGTGCATTACTTGTTGACATGTACTATTTTGTTTTCTTAGTCAATGTCAATTTTTTACAGAATTAGATTTGGTATTTTCGTGATATTGTGTTGGCACCTCTCTGGAAAATGATACGTCTTCTAACATAAAGAAAACATGCTTTACAAATACAGAACAGTTTAATACATGTATAAAATTTTCTCTGGGTATATATTGAGGTGATATTATTATATTATGAATTTGTAAAGAAATAGGATTGTTTATCATGATTGATTTACAAATGCCATGTGGACTGGTGATGACCTTTTCCCTCCTGTCTCAATACTGCTATTAATTCACATGTCAACAGTGATATTTGACACAGCTACTAGGGTTTTAAATATGAATATGTTTGGTATATCTGTAAGTGAATGAACAAAGGTATACAGGCTTTGTTATCATTGGATTCTGGTATTAATATCTAGTGCTGCACAATACGTACTGCACCTGAAAAAAATCCTTAGCATATAAAAATCCTCAAACCTTTCTTTAGATTCATTATTACTTATTACCTTTCAATAGATTCATAACATATGATTTAATATGTTTGAGGGTGAAAACTTTTGAGATGAGTACATTTGTTTAGTTTTCACTACATGTATATACCATCAACACTTCCGAATTAAGCTATAAGAACGACAACTGGAAATGCATGATACATAATCTAAAAATGATCCCCCCCCCCAATAATATACCTTCCATAAATTTTATTGAGTTTTTGTTTGGTTCTTGGCAGTACCCATAATGTATAAGTTGCTTGTAAAAATGAAGAGTTAATTGCAAGACCATGCATGCATCAGCTGTTTACAAGGGTGGCATCTGACTATCTTTGCTAGCCAAGCATATATAATCTACTCCTCTCCAATCCTCGGTTGATTTCTATATTTTGGTCTCTAGCTTATTGTTAAGCTTAAAACAGTGACAACTCCTTGCATCCAATCGGAAATTGTTTTATTTTGGATGCATGCAAGAAGAATGAATATGCATGTTAACAACTATGGAAACAGTTGATATTACAGTCTTCGCCAAATCTTTTTTTCAGCACATGCCCTTCGGGCAGGTGTTATCATGAATTACGCTAGCCCGAAAACAAATATTTACATGCCCAGAATTTTATCAAGTTATATTATTCTTATTGCCTTTTCATGCCAAGGAAATGATCTGAAATCCATTCTGTCAATTTATTGTCTTGCCATTTGTTTTCAACCTGTACACTTTTTGTGTCTCCTTTGCAGAGGAGTTCCTTGGAAATCGCAGTAAAATAAACTGTCAGTAAAATTTTATTTTGTACTTCACTTTACATACAAAATCAAAGACTTTAAAGTACATTATTGTTCTTATTTAATTTGACTATACAGAGGCTTATGCCGTAGAATTTACATGCCCTTCAGGCTTGTAAGTGTGCAATTTCCACATGCACTAGCGCTCTTCCAATTTTACCAGGTCCTGGGCATCGGACTCCCGGGATTTGTCGAAGACTGATATTACCAATATAGCAATGATAAATTTTTGTTGAATGTCTATAGTATAAAGTTTATGGATTTCGAAAGCATCTTCTTGAAAACAATGAGTGCAAACATTGTTTTCTTGATGGCCTACAGTGGTATATGCGAGGTATGACAGAAAAGAGTGGTATTACATTAGCACTGGTCTAGAGATCTCAAAACCTAAAGAATTAGAACTAAATCGGACAAGGATCGGAGAAGAGCAGATTGTAAAACCTTGGCTATTTCTGACAAGGATTAGAACATAATGTATATTCATTATTCCTTTCTTAAATGTCACCTTTGCCATATTTATTAATTTTGTATAAAAGAAACAACACAAGTGTCCCATTTCAGAACATAGAGAAAACAATTTGTATGAAAAATTATGAAATGTACATGTATATTGTGCTATTACACGTACTGTTATACAGTCTCAGTGTATCATAATGTGTCCTGATAAACTTAAGGTCTTACGCAATGTAGTTTGAACTTTATTTGGCTCTTCCCTGGAGTTGAAGAGTTCTACTAAATGAAGGACCTGTGTGCAATACTGTGTAATTTTCGCCCTTTTACACTTGTTTACAACTATGCCCCATTTTAAATTTGCCCAGTCCCACTTCTGTTTAAGAATTTATACTTAATTGTTCTTTGAATTCACCCCGTTTTAAATTCATCCACTTGTGACAAGGACGAAAGGGGCAAAAATAAAACGGGGGCGAAAATTTCCCTGTATACAGTACTTTCAATGTCTATGTATGGGTTTGTACACCTCTTCTAAAACAAATTTTGTTTGAAAAAAGTATGGAATTTATGTTTCGTAATTTTTGTACATTTTTCTTTGAATGATGCAAAAATTTTCTATTAATTTGATATCTGTTCAAAACCCCTGGTAATGCATGCTGATTTTTTGTCTAAGAACTTTTAATGGTACTATAATTTTAAATTAAGAATATCTTGAAAAATTATCAATAGGTAAGGTACCTTGCTTATGTCCTTAAGCTACAATAGGTTTTCAGTAGATCTTTCATTTAGGAAGAGTGTTTGATTTGTTGTTGAATACTGAGTTTTGAAAGGAACCTTTAAAACTTTATTTTGATTCACATGTACAGCTACCTAAGTTAAGAATTCTTACAACTTATAAAAGGGAGTAAGTAACTTACTGTAATCTTTTAAATTTTTTTTTCAGATTGTTATCGAAGACAAAATGTATTGAAAATTTTGAAAAAAAGAACTGCCTTCTTGCCTTCCGTCCAGTTTTTGAACACTTAGCAGGTGTTTTGATTGCTTTCCATTTCAGGGAATGTAAGTATATATTTAGCTCACCTAAGCGTGAGTCTTAAGTGAGCTTTTCTGATCAAGAAGTGTACGGAATCAATGTTAATTCATAGGTACTGTATACTGTAGTTTGTATCATGATCCTGATTGTGACCCCTAGGGATATAGTGGGCATTTTGAGCATACAAAGTTTTACACAGGATTTTTTCTTAAGAACAGGAACAACATGATCAGTATTTTTTTTTAAATATAAAGACATACATAAAAGTGTATATCCATAATTTTAAATTCATTACCCTTGGGAGTAGGCTGGTGGCACATTTGACAATCAAAGTGTTATTTGGAAGCTGCCACAGGGAGATTAGATTTGCAGACCTGCTTACTCTTATGATTTCGCCTTATTTTCTACTGATTTTGGTTTAGAGCATCTGCTCTAGAATAGTGGAGTAAGGAGTCGATCCTTACCATCGGTACATAGCGGGTTCGAATCCCACTGTGGGACGTGGAGAGCGGTCCTTCGGATAAGACTATATAAACCAAGGCCCTGTCACAGTCACAGGCCTTAGGATCGCTTAAAAAATTTTGTGTGTAAAAAAAAAAAAAAAAAAGGTATGGAACTCTTACACTGGATACCTAATTTCGCTAATAAAATATTTTTTATTCAAATGCTCTAGAATTCTACTTTCTGTTGAAATCTATTTATAGATAAACATTCTTCATTTCTAGCAAAGCTCATTCCGAAATTTCAAAAATTTCTTGAGATATTCTGAAATCAATTTAAAAAATGACCTACTTTCTTTTACTCGACATTAGCTTGGGCCCCTGGTCATTCACATGTAAAGTTGAGTTTTAAACAGACAGTGTTTGAAGTGCAGCGAAGATTTGCATAGTATTTGCAAAATCTTTCAACATTTTAAAGTTGATTTCTTACTCCATTATAATTCCTTTCGCGAAAAATTAATTTGAAAACGTCAACATCAACAACTGCATCGCCATGTTGATTATGAATGTAAAAGAAGCTATGGTTGAACGAATTTTTCCCGGAATGCATTATATACCTTTACGATTTTCAAAACAATTACTCGTCAATTGGGCTGCTAAAAGGTTGTTTATAACTTAGTAAGATCCTATGGTCAAAATACAAAAAAAACTTGTAAAACTCAAATGCAAATGAGCAAATATTTGTTGCGTTTAGAATAAATTCCAAGGAAAATTTGTCCCGTCGTTCCTGCTTAACAATTAGTGTAGCTCTTCAAAGGCCCAAGCTGATGTCGAGTTAAAAAAATAAGGTCAATTTTGGAATTGATTTCAAAATATCTCTTGAAGTATAAGGAATTACGGAATGAACTTTGGTAGTAATGAAGATTGTTTATATTTGAATAGACGTGGATAGAAAGTAAAATTGTGAAGCATTTGATTTAAAAGAATTTTATTGGCGAAAGAAGGTACCCTACGAAAAGAGTTCCATACCTTTATTTTTTTTCAACACCTCAAAAAATTTTTTCTAAGAGATTTAAAGGCCTGTGGTCACAGTAGGTGCTGGCACGAAAAAGATCCCTCCCTGCTCAATGGCCCTGAGTGCCCAGTATAGAACAAAATTTGTAGCTCTCCACCAACAAGTGCTGGCGTCTCCATATGAGTGAAAAATTCTCAAGAGGGAGATTAAACAACATACAATCAATCAATCATTACTGATTTTGAGTCCAAAATACCTCTCATGTTTTGCTATTATGAAAATCGGAAACTCGTTTGTTTGAATTCAGCAGTAAATTTTCGTTATGAACAGTCTCGTTTTGACGCTTTTTAATCGCTAAATCAGATAAAGATTTAAAACAGTAAAGTGATATCATGTTGCAAAAAAGCAGTGGTTAAAAAAAATGTCAGAAATGGTTATCAGAAATGTAGATGTTCTCTAGTATATAATGTAAAATGGATGGAAATTGATATCTTACTGGAAAATGCCAAATCTCACTGACAACTCTAATAAAAAAAATACTGAGAGACAACAATACAGGTAAACAGGTCTGGATTTGATTTTCTTCAGATCATGACTCCTGAGGCTGCAATATTAATGAGCAAACCAAGTTTTCTATAGAAATACACTGTATATAAGAAAAAGAATATAATGATAAAGAACAAGAAGGTTCATAGATACTCAGGTGAGCAATGTGGCCAGTGGACCTATCGTTTCATGCTCTTGTTTTAATTTGCCAAGCTTCTATTGCATTAAATATATAATGATGTTTTCCTTGACTTTGCCTCCATTTTAACTTCATCCATTTGATCAAAAGGATTGAAAAAAAAAACAACAGTTGGCAAAAACTTCCCTATATACAGCATTTTCATTATTTCTTTTTATCTTGTTTTTTTTTTTTTGGCACTGAAGAAATATTGTATTTTTTGCAGCAAATTCAGAATGGCTACCTCGGATGATGAAGATAGTGTCTCCAACATTGACTTCTCAGTGATAAGTTCTTCCATTGACCTTGGCAGACCAATGCTGGACCAAGTGGTGAATGGTATTCATTATGGCTCTCCCGAAATCCGAAATCTACTCCGAAATGAATGTGATCTAATCATAGAGTGCAAGATATGCAGAAATTTCTTCAGGTCTTTCCCAAACTTTGTTGCCCACAAGCGAGTGTATTGTTTAGAAATGAATGCCGATAACCTCTACAATAACAGACATCAATCCATGTTGAACAATTCCCAGACAAATGAAACTGTTGTTGTGGAACCAACTGCACCAGAAGATTCTTCACCAATACAGTCAACTCAACAGGCCACAACTGTAGAAAAATTAGTGAATGGGAGTTTCCAAAGCACTTCATCTGCCTTCAGACTTTACACAGATGTGGCAGAGGAAATGGAGAGGCAGAAAGCTACTGCACAGAATACTGTTGTTAAAATGACACCAATAGCATCTAATTCAAATGCCATGGTTATAACTGTAACACAGGAAAAGAATAAAGAAAGCTGTGAGTGTGGTGTGACTGAAGATGAAGGTGCCAGTGCACCAAGCCTGCTCCGCAATATCTTAGAGAGGCCACTCCCTGTGTCTAAAGAGACCCAGCCTAAAGGTAAATCTCCTGAAGAGAAAAATGAAAATTCTATTAATATAGAAGACAAAAAGAGGGAAGGTAGCAAGCGTCATGAAACTAGAAAACCAATGGAAGATCTGCGTCCCGTCCAGAGCAATCTAGGCAGTGCAAACAGGTCATTTCTTAGTGAACTAAGCAAAAAGGGGTTGTGCCATATCAAAACTTTGGAGTGCTTAGTATGCAATAAGCAAATGAGCACCAAGAAATCACTGTGGAACCATATGAAATTTTTTCACTTGGGAGAAAAAACAGTATATCCATGTCTTTTCTGTGACAAAACTTTTGGAAGATTTTACAATATATCAAAGCACATTATGTCCTGTCATGATAAATCTCACAAAGACATAGAAAAACTGAAGAGCAAAATAAAGTCAATGAGCTACAAAGTAGATGATAGTGGTGAAGAATTGAGTCCATCCAGTCAAAAGGATATTGAAGCACCAGAGAGAAGCAGATCTGAAGGTCAAACAGTCCGTGGGATTAAAATCATAAACTGTGAAGGTTGTAAGAAGGCATTCTGGAAAGAAGAAAATTATGCCTCTCACAAAAAGCAATGTAAATCCTTAAACCCAGGTAATAAAGTTAAGGAAAGTGTGACACCCCCAACAAAAGAGCATACGGGGAAGACTTCTAGCCAACAAGATGACAAGATATATAGAGCCAGTAGAAACACTTCACCTGACAAGATGAGTGTCAGTTCAGACAGTTCTCCAGAACGGTCATCCAACAGTGCAGAAAAATCTGAAACATCACAAAACCAGTCCAAGAGGGTCATTCAGACACGGCACTCTGCTGCTGTAAAACAAGACTCGTACATGAAAACAAGGTTCCTTGACAAACGAAGAGCTGTGTTGTATGAGAGTCCTAAAAAATCCAATACCTCTGTTTCTAGTTCTGACTCTAGTCCAAAGCCTTCTCCAAAGAAAGGAGTTTCTCCTAGAAAGTTGAGTAATAGTTCAAATGGATCAGAAAGTCCCCTCAATACATCAGCGAAATCATCACCCAAGAAGAGAAGGTCTGCAGATGTTAATGATGAGGAACTTCAAAAAGAAGCAGATGCTGAGACCCCAGCAAAAACACCTGTAGAACGCAATTTGGTCTCCGTCTTTGAAAAAGTTGGAACAAGGTCAAAATCAAGAGGAAAAGAAGAGGAAGAAAATAAAGAAACCAAGTTGGAATCAAATGAGATTGTAAATCCAACAAAAACTCAAGATGCATCTCCCCTGAGTGGAAATGTCATGCAGACAAGACAGCGGAAACCAAGAGAAGACAAAAGTAAAGAAAAAGATACGAAAGACAAACGTAGAGACACAAGTAATGATTCCAATTCTAGTAAAAACACTGACCAAAAGACAACAAAACAGAAAACTCCATCCACAAGTAGCAACACATCAAGGGAGTCTAGTCAGGATCGCTTTATTCACACAAGAAAATCCAAGCAATTGATGGAAGCCAAAAATGAAGAAACATCAAAGAAAAGTGAAGAAAAAGTACCTACTAAAGCAACACAAAAGGATGCTCCCAAGATCATTAATACGGAGGAAAAAGAGATATCAGAAGAGGAAACTTCTCAATCAGAAAAAGTGGTTTACACAAACTTGAAAAATTTAAGTTCAGAAGAGGAAAAAATAGTGAAAATGAGACAAAAGATGCAGAGTCCTAATAAGCATATTTTTGCTATTCAAGGTAAAGTTTCTGAGGAAGGCAAAGAAAATGACAAAGAAGAAGAAGAAACGTTACCAAATAGTGAGGACTCACAGGAGGTGCCTAAAGAAACAGAAAAGGAAGAGGTCTCCAGAAGTAGGAGGAAACAGGTTATTTCTGTTCGTCAGTTTGATGAGGTTGATGGAGAAAAGGGCACCCCTGTAACAAAGCATAATACAAGGAGGTCTGTAGCCCAGAAATCTACTCCCAGCACTCCAAACACCAGAAGTAGTAGCTTGGATAGTAAAGCAGATAATTCTACAGGCAAAAAGATTCCACAATCAAAACAAGAGATGGCAGAAACAGTAAAGAAGAAAACAGATGAGAAGACTGGAGATGACTCCAAACAAAAAGACAATTGTGATGGAGAGAAAAGACAAAGACATCGCAGTAAGGCAGACTGGAATTCTTTGTCTGAAAAAGATGGTAACAAACAAACAACACAAAAACAAGATGAGGCGAAGGACATAGAATCATCAAAGGATACTAGACGCACAATACAAACAAGAGGGAAATCATTTCATTCACATGAAGACAAATCAGAGAATTCAAGTGGCACAAGTATTGTTTACACTGCAATTCAACCTAAGGCTCAAAGTAAGATCTGGAAGAGTCCAAACGCTAATGTGGTGAAGATTCAGGAGATCTGGGTGAAGAAGAAGCCAGGACAACCTACTGAAGAAGTGAAGCATAGTACAATTACAGTGAGGAAAACTTCAACAGCTCAGAGGCGTTTATGTGAGAAATACAGGCATCCTAAGCGAGTTTATGTCATGAAATCCAAAAAGTCAACTAAGCCCGTGTGTTTAGACATGAATAACATAGAGTCCTTGCTTGACAGAGAAAAGAAACAATGTAAAGAATGTGGAATTCAGTTAAAATCCATGTCAAATCTGAGAAGACATATAGTCAGACATCTTGGATGGAAAAGATATAAATGCAAATTGTGCCCATTTTCTAGTTTCAACAGGTCGGAATGTAATTCCCATTTGCAAAGAATACACAAAGAAAAGATTGTAGGAAAGGATATCAACAATCTTATTAAAGATCTGAAAAAAGAGGGGTCTGAAAAGAGACTTCAGAAGAAACAGCAAACTCTGAGAACAAAGCAGAGACTGGAGTCTGAAATGGCAGCTTCAAACTCATACAAGAAGGGGAATGGGATATCAAAACTAAAATCATCTCCACATAAAAGTGTGTCTCCTAATCAGCCTGTGAAGTCTATAATCACAACCAGACGAAGGTCACTGATCCAGAGTGGTCAGGATACAAAATCTGTTGCTGGGACTCAGAAATCGCCAGAGACGTCCAAAAAGATGGAAAGTGTATCAGTTACCAAAGCCAGAAAGGAAGCAGATACAACTTCAGATGCTAAGCAGAAGAATGAAGAAAACAAAATATGTCCTAAAATAGATGTGAAAGCCAGGAAGTGTATAGAATGCAGCATTACATTTGCAAATGATTACAATCTTTTTCGGCATGTTCGGAACATTCACAAGTTTGATACAACACAGCTGAAGAAATCCAAAAATGATGCTGCATCTAGTGTGAGTTCAAGTTCCCTAACTAGTTCAGCAAGTATCAAGAAGATATCCAAAGATTCCAATATGCAAGATGACACAGCATCTGTTAAAAGTGCTAGTTCAGAGAAATCAACACGGAAAAGGAAACGCCAGGACAGTGGGACTTCATCAGAAAACAAGCTTAAGAAAACAGACAATACTAAATCTGTTCCTGCAGAAAGGAAAAGATCTGCTAGTTTGGATGGGTCATACAATGCGAATGATACATCTAGTATAAATCATGATTTGTATGACAATTTGTGCAGTGTGTCTGACAATGAAAATGATTTCAGTGACAGGATAGGGTCTCCTACAAGATCAGAAGAAGGAATGATTCGGTTAGAACCCAGAGTGCAGACTATGTTTGCAGCTTTAGAGGAAGCCAGAGCCACTGTGAGACAAAGGGGAAAGAAGCTGGGAATAAGAAGGCTAAGTTCTCCTGTGAAAAAAGTAACTCCATCACCTACCGATAAAAAAGTAACCCCTGTACGCAGTTCAGCAAGAATAAAACAGGATTCCAAAACACCTACAACAAAAGAGGGACCAATAGAAGAATCAACTGCTTCATCATCAGAACAAGACGTAGTAGCTCAATCTGATTCAAAATTGGCAAAAAAAGTAGAAACATCCGAATTGGTTTCATCAGAAGAGATGGAAGTAAACTCTGAATCTGTGTCTGTAAAGGACTTGAAATCAAATTCAGAAGAAACAGAACAGTCAGAGTGTGATATGATTGGATCTGAAATGAGAGAAAAGTCAGAGATGGATTGTGATTCTACAGAGGCCATTGACCAAACAGAGGAGAAAAGTGATAAAGTCATTGGAGAGGAACATGAAAACGATGTAGAGAAGTCAGCCTCAAAACAACCTGAAAACAGTTCAGTGGCAGCTAAAAATGAAAAAGATAAATCTGGAGAAGAAATACCTGCTGAAACTTGTGAAAAAGTGCCTGATCATTCCATGAACTCTATAGAAGATGAAGTGCACAGGACAGAGCAAAATAAAACTGATGACGAAGTTTCACTTGATGGTAAAGACAAGACTGTTAACATGGAGAATGAAGCAGACAAATCTCTTGCTTCAGAAGTAGAAAAGGAGGTGAATCCAACTGATAAAATGACTGAGACATCTGACACTGAAAAAATGGAAGCAGAAAACTTGATTTGTGAAGACAGTGATGTCAAAACCACTGTGGATGCCAATGTGAACAAATGAAGATAAAATGAACTTCTATTGAGTCAACTGAATTGGATTTAGTTAATCATAACAATTTTATGATTTATTTTTATCAGTGTATATTATACATTGAAATATGTTCACTTTTTTCCTGTTGATACCGAGTCATTTAGGGTAAGGAGAGTGAGAATCTTCAAAAGTTCTGCATCACTGTGTTATGTGGAAATGGAAACTTTTTCTGGAATGCTAAATGATATCAGTTGTTAATGTAACTTTTAAACATGTATCATACATTTATATTTTTAATTATACATATACATTTCTTTAATAATTAATACTGTAGATTCCTTATTATACAGGAGGAATTAATTATAGTGTAATTTCGTGAGAAGCATCACTCGCGAAATAAAATTACTTGCTTTTATTTCTATGGTGCTGAAATCCATATGAATTCTCTTGATCAACTGTCCATTCGGGAATATATATTCTCAAGATTTGGCATTAAATAGCCATTTAGCATTTAATAAGTTCCAGCGAAAAATAAGGAATCTACAGTAAGTAAGGTGAAAATGTAATAAAGCTGCACATTAAATTTGTTTAAATTTGATTTTTTTTTCTATACACTCAAGTATGTTCTTTTTATTGTTAAAATTTGAGATAAAGGGCATATATGTTCCATTGTGAGCTTCATTGTAGTGCAATATTGTTCATTATCATGTTGCATGTGCTAAAACTTTTTTTGCATATTTCAGTGTCTATTGTTTTCTGGTAATTTGCTTTTTAAATTCAATTGTATGGACGAGAACCCCAATATTGGAATACATGTATTGTCATGTCCTGTTAAAAGGAAAGATAGTCAAAGAGAAATGCACTGGATGAGTTTGCTTTTATCTTGAAATGTTGAATCTACCAATGTTAACACATTTGTATGTGCCTTGATTTATTTTGATGAATTGTTGATTGAGTTGAACTATGAAATCTTGGATTATGTTAACGTTTTTAGTTAAAGTTCAAAACTACAGTGCAATTTTGAATTACAAATCATTCTGTTAGAAACTGCATGTTTAGCTCTACTGGTCAGAGACCAGAAGAGCTTATGCGATAGAAATGAGTCCGTCGTCCGTCCGTCTGTCTGTCTGTAAACAATTTTTCAAAATGCTACTCCTCCTACAGTTTTGGTCCAATTTCAATATAACTTGGCACACAAGTAGACTACACTAAGATACATAATTCTGTGCATTGGTTTTTGATTTCGATGAACGGTGTTGCCGTTGTTACTAAAAATAGAAATTTCTGTGAAATGCTTTCAAAATGCTACTCCTCCTACAGTTTTGGTCCGATTTCAAGATAACTTGGCACACAAGTAGACTACACTAAGATACATAATTCTGTGCATCGGTTTTTATTTTGATCAGCAGCAAGGATCATTTCCTTATTTATTGCTGTATAAACCAGTAGAGCTACAGTCTCGACAGAGACTTCTGGTTATCATAGTTATCATGTGTACATGTGTTACCTAAAATGCATACACATAGAAGAATCTTGCTTCTATCAATTTTCTTGGTATTCTCAAATTTTAACAAAGTAAAAATTCTCTAGTCAAACTATTACTAGATGTACTATGCATGTTACATTGTTGAACAGCCATATGTCTTTAAACAAGCATGTTATATGTAATAATTGAATTCTGACATAAAAGAATTGACTGAAATTGAATTGATTGTGTATTGTTTATGCTTGTCTGAGCTGAAAGCTCAACTGAGGTTTTCTGTTGCTTGGTGTCCATCCGTTACTTTTCACATTTTAAACTTCTCAATACACTGCATCTTGAAATTAGTGTAGAGTTTTAGTTGTAAAAGTTTTACATTGAAATATACAGGAAAAATCTTCTCAAGATCCAGCATCTGAAACAAGTCTTGTGTAGCGTATCATCCATGCAAGTTTGGTCCAAGTATTGAAAGGCTTATAGTTACTTGAGAACGGGCTTTCTCTTAAACCTTTACTGAGACACTAATGCGGGGGGTATAGCATAAGCTCATATTAACATTGTGAAGGATCTAATGAATAGAAAGTCCCTGTGAATCTGCATATAATTATATCTACACTGTATAACAAAGGTTTCACGAAAGTTGCTTTGTGTGGAGTTGCCCTGAGAAACTGTTGTAGTGATGGTGAAATTGTAAATTGGTCAAATTTCTTACTTGGTTAAACAAGAGATGTTGGTAAAACACTCCTCCCCCCCCCCCCCCCCAAATAATTGGAATTTTTCTAAGTCCAAGGGGCATAACTCTGTCCAAAATGGCCTGATCACACCCAAAATAGAATTTGACCTAGATATTCTTAGGATGAACATGTAATACTAAATTTCTTTTCAATATGTGCAACTTCTGCAAAGAAAAAAAATGGAAACTGCAAATATTTAGAATTTTTCCAAGTCCAAGGGGCATAACTCTGTCCATAATGGCCCGATCATACCCAAAAACATGACTTGACCTAGATATTCTTAAGATTAATCTGTATACCAAATTTCATTTCAATATGTGCAACATCTGCAAAGAAAATACATGGAAACTGCAAATTATTAGAATTTTTCCAAGTCCATGGGGCATAACTCTGTACCCAAAAACAAAACTTGACTTGGATGTTTTTGGGATAAATCTGTATACTAAATTTCATTTCAATATGTTCTGTTGAGTTGATTTAGAGATGTACTGACAAAAAAGTTGAAGAACAGAATGAAAGAGGACAAACATTTTACCGTAGTTCAATATTATATACTACTGATAAATTTTAATTTTGGCATCATAACTCCCAGGGGAAAATCTTGCAAAGATGCACATTTACATGTCCTTATTAATTATAAAGTACATGCATCTAACATGTCTTTATTAACTATAAAGTTTCTTGAAATTCTATTTAACAGTTTCAGAAGATTTACGATTATAAAAACATGACTGACTGATAGACGGGTCAAAAACATTGTATGGGGTCTGCTGAAATAGCCAATTGAAAAACACAAACAATTGTACTATTCTCTTGAGTTTTATTTTCAACTGTCTTAAAAATTAAATTCAACTACATTAAATAACAAAACAGGTACATATATAGAAGTCAGAGGTCTGAAAAAATATTTAAAAATATAAATGTCCAATTAGACTGCACTGATGATAATCAAAATCTCAAAGATCACAGAAATAGGGTAAGTCAATGAATGAAAAAACATGTATGATTGTTAGGAGCTCCAAGATACTGGAAATAGCATCCATTGTCATATACATTTGGCAGTTTAGCATATGTAGCTAACTGGTCCTAAGAACACTATACATCCACCCTTGTCATCATGAAGATCTGGAAATCACAAGCTCCTGGTAAGTACGGTACAGTCCAGCTACGTACTTGCAGAGACCATGTGGTACGTCGGAGGGGAAAAGACATACCTCATTTTCAGATGAGCAGAGAGCGGACACTTTTGGAAGCTTGTGCTTAGCCTTGGTTTGCAACGGAATGTACTTTTGAACATCAACATTTTCTGCTATATCCCTGAATTGAATGACTTTCTTTGGGTCCTGTTATAAGTAAAAAGTATGGAATGTACTGAAAATAAGCCATAAATCAATGATGATTATTACGGGTACATGAATGAAGAATGTTATTTCACTAATATCTTTTATATTTACATAAGAACTTAAAACGTAGTGTTAGTAAAATAAGAACTTGTTAATTAGTTCTAATGACACATTCCATGAATATCTATATACCGGTACTTCTTGTAAAATATACCAATATATTTTAATTTATCATTGTGATTTCTAAACTATTTTTTCTAAATGTCATCAAAAAATATAAACACCAAAAACTGAGACATCCACATTTTAAGTTGTAGTATGTTCAATTGGATTATGGGTTGTAACATCCTTTGGTATCTTGTCTAAATTTTTACAATGTACTTTAACTTTTTGCTCAATAAAATTGCACTTTTTCCACTACAAGATCTTGGAAAAATTATATACCGGGTATTATTGAGGAATGTGTCTGACTTTTGAAAAACACTGTAAATAAAAATTAAAAACAAAGGTAATCAAAGATTACAGAGCTCACCTCAAGCAAAATCATAGGCAAAGTCCTGTTAATGTTATGCATGTACTAATAATTAAAAATCTAGTAGTGCAAGTTTGGCTAAGATAGGGCTTATAGTTACTTAAAAATGAGAAAAAAAAACTTCAGCCTGATCATTCTTTGCTTGAAAATGCAGCATCTGAAACCTAGATGGTAAAATAGAACATACTAAAAGCATCATACATGCATATCTGATCAAAATAAGATAAAGTACTTGAAAAAGAATCTGCTTCATAAACTTTAACCTGCGACGCAGACATCATAACCAATGCTGAAGGAATTACATAAACTCCCAAAATTTTGCTGAGGTGAGCTCATAAAAACACCAATGCGTAAAAGTGAATTCAACTCCTTCTTTACCAGAAGAGATCTGTAAGCCTTTTTAAGAAGGATCCACTGTACAAAAATCAATGAAAGTTGTTCCAATGTTGGTCAAATTTTATACAAGATTTTTGTGTGTAATAGGAAGATATCTGGAATACAGAGGGTGGACCTTTTATGATAACTGTGTTTTAAGGTCCGACATATTCCCTTTTCAATTTTTAATGCTACAGTGTGAAGTATGAAGGCTCTAAAAACATCTGTTATTAAGTTATGGCCAAGGTTAAAATGTGGTAATTTTTTGTAAAAGTGGGTCAAAATTAAAGGTCACGATGTCATATCTGGTGGTACCCAAAGAAAGGTCATGTCATTAGGGTTCGGCTGCAAGCCTTAAGGGTAGGGTTAGGGCTAGAACTAGGGTTAAAGTTCCCCTTTTATTTCTGTTTTATCTATGGTACAGATATTTTAGATGATTCAACAGCTTCAAGGAATTAGAATGTGGCATATTTTATCATTCACATCAGTATATACTCTGCATTATTCAGAGCATTCAAAAGTTAGCATAATCTTCCTATTCAACTTATAAGCATAATAATAAATTTATGAATCTATAGTTATAAAAAAAAGGCAAGTATGGGTAAAAATCATGGATTAGTTAACAAAAAGCAGATGAAGGGCTGCTTAAATATATTCTTGCTAAAATAAGTACTGTTCAACTAAATACAAGTACAAAGAAGCTCACTTCAAACACCACATGCACCTGAGGATACTTCCATTTAAATATGTCTAATAATCATGACTATGCTAATCTTCAGAGAAGACAGCTAGTGTTTAAAATTTGTACTTTGCTGTTTTTATGATTTGTAATTTTTTTCCTGTATATTCCTTTGCAACACTTTGATTGCAAAATGTGGTCCCAACCTACCCCTAGGGGAGGACCAGATGAATTGATCACATCTTAATCTACAGGAACTTTTAAAAGTTGTTTCCTTATTAATATGACTAACCATGGCTTTGTTGTGCTTGAAAATAAAAAAAAAATGTATGTTCCTTTGTCAAACTTAGTTTCTTATTGGAGCCCCATCTACTCCTACAAGTAAGAGCCTCGGTTAACGTCCCTACGTATTTCGTACCATTCGTAAATATACAAAGACTTATTTCTTAATAAAACAATTTTTTCCACTTGGGGTTTCAGCGGCGAGAATTTTTACAATGGATGCTAGAGGTTACCCGACGCCAAGTCAAAAGTACATGTATCTCGCCGTGAACCTCTAGCATGCTGGAGTAGAGCCCCATCATACCCACCCTATCCCCAGGGATCATGTTCTGAACAATGTACAAGCTATGGTATTGCAGGAAACTTGCACCAAAGTTTAATCTTTTCTGGTTCTTAGGTTCTTGGGAAGATTTATAAAGTTTTTTGTCTACATACTTAACTTTAGAAGGGGCATGATTCAATCCATTTATAATCTGGACAACCTCAGGAAGTTTTCACTTTTGTTTCATCTTTACTGGTCTAGTGGTTCTTAAGAAGAAGATTTTTAGAGATTTTTCCAATATATTTCAAAGTGAAACTTTGATCCCCTTTTGTGGCCCAACCCTACCAAAATGAGAAAGCTGTATGGTTAAAACCTATACTATCTAAGGAACAAAATTTCTGATCCAGTGGCTCAATCCTAGAAAATTTTCTTATGACCTCACTCTATTTTACCTCTTGTTGATTCCCTCCTCTTGAAAGAGGGTTGGCCCTTATTCTATCATGTCAAATTCCCCTTCAGCCAAGGATGCTATATACCATCTTTATTTAAAATTGGCCCAATGGTTCTTGAGAAGAAGTTGAAAATGTGAAAAGTTAACAGACTTACAGATGTACATGTATAGCTGCAGAACTGTAGCTCTCCGAAAAAAAATATGACAGACCGGAGAGATACAGTGTCACCCATTGAAAGAACTGTACATTTATTGCGCACAAAAAAGTGCACTGTTTCTCACTTTATTTCTCCATGTTATTAAACTGTCATCTGAAAATATTACTGGTACTAACTGTGTGTTCCTAACAGATTATTTCACTTATTCCACAACAAAACATTCCTTATAATTGTTGTTAATAGTTCTCCTGGCCCTAAAATTAAGATCATCGAAAATTTTGTCCATTCATACTGCCATTTTGGTTTGCAAGATAATTCGGTCCAAAACGCTTCAAGCAAAAGTAAGGAATTTTTTTCAGTCTATCTTTTTTTACGATTCATCATTGAGGCAAGAATTTGTAAGAATTAATC